TTAACAAGGCTTCAGATAATAGCTGACACACAAGGCTTGAGGGTAATGAGCTTCTAAGTAAATCTCACAGTTTTTGACACTGAATTTTGACAGTTAACTTTATATTAACTCGATCAAAGATGGGGAAAAAAGAGATCTATGAAAGGGCAAATGATGGGAGCCTTTTTTACTTAAAAGAGATCAAATATATTCACAAACATCAAAATTTTAGGAGTGTTGGAGGCATGTCATTCCTGCCTTCTTTTTACAGTTCTGTGGTTTCAGGTAATGTATGGACTGTGTTCTTCTGTTACCCATTTTCCTTTGATGTAGGGCATGCCTTTACTGCATTAACACTGTTCTGTCAGGTCGTGTTATTTACATCTTCAATAATTATTGCTCTTTCCAGGACATTAAAAGAAAAAAGAAATATGGTGATAGCCTCATATCTCTGGGTCTAAAAGAATGTTAATATGATTTCTAATTACCTCTCCTTCCCAATATTCTATAAAGCAATATAATGAAAACAGTTTAAATATTGTCTGATTTTCATATACCATATATGCACACAGGGGTGCTTTACATTATTTTCGGGCTGAAAAGCCATGCACAAGCTGTCTGAATAGACTTTACGCAATGGCAGGAATCTGCAGAATGATTATCTTGATCCTATATGACTTGTGAGCTATCAGCTGCAGCAAAAAAAAGTCAGTTCTTTGCAATTCATAGGGACATGAGAAATTGCGTTAAAAGGCTAAAGGGCTGGTACTGGTTACAATTTTCTGTTGTACATTTCAGCTTCCTGCTTAGAATCACAGCTTTTTTTTTTTTTTTTTTTTTTTTTTTTTTTTTTTTTTTTTTTATTATTAGGGTTATTCACTAAGTGCAAGAAAACAATTATACTTAGCTAGTGGTCATTGAATTGTATGACTTCCTTCAACTCTTCTACTACTTGAATATATGTAAGATGACTTGAAGGCAGTACTTCCTTTCTGCTAACGTTTAGGAAGACAACTTAGGGTTTTGTAAGGGTTATCAAAATTCAGTAATAACTGATCTTCTCATAACATGCTTGCAGAGTGGAAGGTAAGTCGAAGCAAAAGGTTATTTTTTTTCAAGTAAGAGGAGAATTGTGCAAAATATAAACAAGGAGCATTTTTGAGGTGTAAAGTGGTTTTAAAATACAGACTGAAATTATGTAAACTTTTTGCTGTTTTTACCTCACACTGTGAAATGCCATCTGAAATCAGAATTGAAACACTGAATTATGTCGTCTATAGTCTTGTCAGAAAATGTCATTTATCTATCATAAGTAGTCTACTCTGTGTGCTAGCTTGTTATTTCATGACTTAATACTTCAAAGGTGGTATTCTAGCAATATAGGAAAACAAACTTTGGAAAGACAGAAAATGGTAAATCTAGCCAGGTTGGAAAAGAAAAGAGAAAAGAAATTCTGTTAAGAAAAGGTCAAACATGAAATAGTCCTTTGTAAACTTTTTGAACATGACTTTGCAGTGCATGGGAAAATTCTTCTGTATGCTATTTTTCTCAGGTAAAATCTGAAGGAAACTGAAGATATAGATTATGGACTTTTATATAGTCTCAAATTCATCTTTTTTAAAAATAGAGGATCATTCCAAAGAGTGAAATTTGTAAAATTTATATGTAATATTTCTCTTATTAGGTGCTTGGTTACCAAAAAAATGTTACCTTCTAGGAGTTAGTAATATCTACTATTTTCAGAAATTTGGTGTTTTAAAATACAAAACATGTATAAGAAAAATTAGGAAATAAACCTAATTAAATTATATTTTAATGGAGTTATTTCTAATGGGACAATTAAGTTCTCAAGAAAATAATTTATATAACATATTTTGAAAACACAGAATAGAAGCATTTTCTAGAAAAAATGATTATCATGAAATTATATTATATGCCACAACTTATCAAAGTTTCTAAGATTTATCATTTTATGGAGTTCATTTTAATGAATTCTCAGATCAGATAAAATTATTTGATAAAATATGATGACAGAGAAAATATGATGAGATTTCAGAGTGTTGGCATTAAGCATATGTATCTTCTCCTGTCCATTGATTGTAATATTGTTCATACTGATAATGCCTAAAAGCTGATATCCTTGTTAAATGTTTGCAGATCTGTGTGAAAGTTTTTGGTTGACTAATGTGTCTTGAAAAGTATTCACTCTTTTTTGCCACTCTTGTTAGTTATCTTGGCAGAGAAGAAAAGGGATAACATTTTGAAAGTGTTAGTTTATAGAGCAAAAATTTTAAATGTAAAGTGATATTTCAGTTTTTGATTCCAGTAGTGAATGCCATATACTAGCTGGAGGTGCTGTTATGCTGCCAGTGCTAGCAGCTGCAACTTCTTGTTTTCCTACTGAAACTCCTGATTTATATGCTAGGATCCCCACATAGTAAAAATGCTAAGGTAATAGATCTGCAAGGCTTAGCAGTTTAGTCAGTAGGGCATTGGGGAATATTAAATTAAATCTTGCTTCTTTTAGTGATTTCAGGGCTTAGTGTCAGATTGAAAATCATAACTGTATTTGTGATGTTAAATGACAGCACTTCTCAAAAAGTCTAAGAGAATATGGTCTTTTATTTGAAAATACAGCTGGATAAAATGCAGACACAGCCTCCTTCACATTTTAATAAAGATAAAAATACATGAGAATCTGAAACATGACAGCACAGAGCATTCTTCTGAAAAAATTTAGCCACCTCATTGACGCAGTGGAAGGACTAACTTCCATGTTGAATATCAGTCTAGTGGAGAGGAGCACTTTTAATTAGGTTAAGCTTGGTAATGAGTGTCCACTGCAGAAGTCACTCCATGTAACCAGTCATAAATGATAAATTTTGTCTTAAACTTTGGCCTCTGAAGGATGTGTGCTTGATTCTGCACTGTGGAAATATACCTACCTCTTGTCTGGATTCACAACTTCAAACTTAGCTATGTATGTGACTAAACCCTTTCTGTCACAAGCTGAGAATGTGTCGTTCCTTTATTTCAAACTCAGCAGGGAAAAGATGTGTTTGAATAGATGTGTATTACAGCTAGAGGAAGATTACTCTTTCTTCTTTTTCTTCCTTCAAGTCTATTTCCATATTCATGTAAAGGATTAGAGAAGGGAGCATTTGTTCAGATTTTGGAGATTCAGGTTCAATTCTACATGAACGATGAGACACCTCATGTTTGCACTATGTTGCAATAACCAAGGCTTTTACATAAAAGTATTGAGGTCCTCATTGAAACAGGAACCACAAATTAAACCCTTCTGGCACTTTGAGTGTCCTAATTTCTAATGTACAGAAAGATCCCATTTTTTATTTCTCTCTCTTGTTCCCTCTCTGCTTCTGTTTAATGCCTCTCTGCAGAGTGGCATGGTATCAATAGGAGGCAGCTGAAAGAATTTTTACCCTCAAGTGGTCTGTTGCCTCTAGGTTACAGTGCACTGCCAAGACAATGGTGTTTAAACCTGCCCCAGCAGAAGACACAGTTAAATCGATGCTCTCAGGGATCTCATATTTCCCTTGCGTACTCCAATGGTGATGTTAAAGAGCTATGTTAAATGGCAGCACAAGAAAAACAATTGTAAAGTCTGTCACATAGGCTTCCTTAACAGTTGCCCCATTTTTTAAAGAACTTAGTTTGTTGGGTCATCTGAATTAAGGACCTGAGGCACGGAGAACTGGAGTGTCAGTGAGTTTTGGAGGAATAAGCCAAAAGCTGATGTGTTTAGCAGCTTGAAGAATAAATTTCTCCAGGCTACGGTCAGATGTCAGGCCTGCAAAGTTTAATGTTGAAAACTGAGTGCCTTACTGATCTGAGTGCCTTTAGCATTTGAGGTTGGAAGCAGAGTGCAGATTTTGAAAAACAAAGTTACAGAGAATTAGGTATGGTGAGGTACTTAACTGTTTTCTAGATCTAGGGGGGAAAGTAGACAGATTTTTTTTGATTGATCTACCACACAAAGTCAAACCTACCTACAGAAATTCATCCCAGCCACTCTGTCTTCCTTTTCTCTCTCTTTTCTTCTTTTTTAATCATCTCCCTAGACCAGAGATTAGTTGTTTAAGAGGCAAATATAAAGGCAAATATATTATATTTCATCTTTGCTTTGAATGCGAGAAACTACCATGAGAAGTTTGTCATAATATATCAGGCTGCCTGTACTCCTTTGCTAGGGGTAAAAACAAGGACCCTATTATAATAAGCTGAATTCAGTCTGTGTAAGGGAATAAGACAGATTTTATCTTTTCTGTTTTCTTGCACTGTAAAAAAAAAAAAAAAAAAGTCTTTGAGGATTTAGCTTATGATGAAACCATTAATAAACATTTTTCTAATAATACACTGTTCATAAAGATGAAATTAAATGCATTTTTTTTGCAAATGTATTCTCTATGAATTACATTCAATAATTAACAAGAAGGGAAACAGATGATGCTCTAAATAATGAAGTAGATATTTGTTTTCAGTAGTGCACCTGCATTTTAGTAGTATTTAGACATTAATTTAGGTTAACTTCTTACACCAAGCTCTACTGTTTTGTTATGGAAGAGCTGTTTTAACTATGCCGAAATGAGATGTATTACTTTGAAATACAGGCAAGGAAATTTTACTGAGTACCTGATGCACGTGCTCCATTCAGATGTTATCTGGGAAGTCTAACGTATGTTAACAGAACATCTGTTTGAAATATTTTTATATATCATGTGCATCCACAGTCAGTAGTTGGCAGATAAATAATTGTAGAGACAAGGTGAAGTTTGCAGTGAGTCATTGCAGCTGGATAAGTCATTTTAATTATTATGTGATGCATATTTAAAAGACAGCAATTGTCTGAGCTCCAGGCTCAGACAAAGCAAATTTACAGGACTGGCAAGGCTGTGCCCGTAGAGTGAATCTGCTTCTAGGCATTGCAGCTGGACATTTCTTACAGTTGTGTTTTGTTCTGTTTTTTTTTTTTTTTTTTTCTTCCTCAATTTCCCCTTCAGAGGTCCTTCTGTAGTGCCATGGTAGAGGAGCTAAGGATGTCTCTGAAGTGTCAGCGTCGATTAAAACACAAGCCACAGGCCCCTGTCATTGTGAAAACAGAAGAAGTTATCAACATGCACACGTTTAACGACAGAAGGTTGCCAGGTAAAGAAACCATGGCGTAGAGCTGGGAAGCCAAATACCCCAAGCACAAACTGTCGTCTTTTTTCCAAACAACTTTGCGAGAATGTTTCCTGTGGAAATATGCAACCTGTGCAAAATAAAATGAGTTACCTCATGCCGCTGTGTCTATGAACTAGAGACTCTGTGATCTCAGCAGTTGCAATGGCCAGACTCGAATCACAAGCATCACAGATCAACCAAGTTACGCAGGGTTACACTGTTTGCCATGGGTTCCACCATTCTGGATGAGTGAATGTTACATGTGAATTTTGTGGCTGGTTCAAATGCAGTCTCAGTGAGAAATTACAGGTTCCTTTTGAAGTTCAACGGTTGCCAGGAGAATAAATGTCCAGGATGGCACTAACCACAGAAGGAGTCTTTCAAAAGTAATGTGTCAGAACTGGACTGGAATGAGAAACAGTATGTTCTTCTGAACTTCCAAGCATAGAAGGGATGGTAGCTGCTAGCCCATCTCTACTGACTGTGTTTGCCAGCTGGACACTATGATTGGACAGGCAGTATCAGCTTACTGGACGAGAGAAATGTTCAAATGAAGAGAACATGAATCCTATGAATGGAAGTTTAAATAAGGGAATGCTCACTTGCTTTTTGGACTGTGTCACTGGACTGAGTAAATAAATAAATATATATATATATTTTAATTAATAACTTAAATTTACCTGAGTTGGAACTCTTACATAAAAAGAAACAAAAAATCATAATTTTTACCCATTTTTTAGGTAAATAAAATTTTCCTGAGTACAAAGGAATGTATCTTAGAACCCTTAGATGTAAGCAATTACCTGTTTCTTTTCAATTGTGACAAGAGGGAAGGGGTTGGGAAGCAGTCTAGTTGGCACATAGCGGGCTGGTATTTTAGCCTGAATGGGATTTGAAACCCTTGTTCCTGCTACTAATTGAACTCAGTGGAGCCTGTGCAATTCTCACTAATATTGGAAGTGGGATGGGTCACCTAAAATAAGTGAATGCGAAGAACTTTATAGAGGACTGCATTTTTCAATACAGTCATGGTACTAATTGAACAAAATTCTTGAGCAGTTTTTTTTTTTCAAAAAAAAATGTTCAGGTTTATTTGTGGAAATGCAAGATTTCTATGAAAATAGTTTTTGTATCGAAATTTTTGTAATACTTTTTATCAACAAAATAAGAACATGTGTTTCTGTCAGGGGTGTGATGCCAAGCATGAATGGTAGTGCGTGCGCACCACCAACGTTTGGTGAAAACTATTTTTATCAGGAAAAAAGGAATCTTAGAAGAGACATATTTTCAAGTTAGATAATATAAAAACTAGGTGCACTACCATCACTGCTTACCATGCTACACCCCTGGTTTCCACTAGGCTGATAACATGCTGTCATGAACAATTGTGTGTAAATGGTATAAGACACAGACCTCTTGACCACATTGTGATAACAGTTGAAGTGCACTCAGTTTGCTGTTTGAATCCAATGCACAAAATTAAAAAAAAAAAAAAAAAGATTATTTTAGTTGTTTTGTTTTTCCTGTGTGATTTGAGCAATATATGTACAGTACTCTATGTCAGTACTGGTACTTATAAAAACCTCAGTCTAGTGCCCTATCCTGCTGATTCTTGCCACTAAGCCCACGTCCAGCAAATTTGCTGGGATTTCTAAGCCTGTACAGCACATTGTGATAAGTTTTTGCAGGATCTGGTTTTTTGTTGCTAAAAAACTGATTTGTATGTCCTACTTATAGTGAGTTCCTGGACATAGGTCTTTGGAAATCCTGCCCTACGGATGGTGAGTCTTGAACCTCCATCTGGTGTAAATTTATTTGTATCCCAACAAAAATGTATAGGATAGGTTATGTAGGAATGTTATGTCAGTCACAAAAGCTTATAAAGTCTCTCTTTATAAGAAAAATATACCATCTGGCTAGATTAAAAAAAAAAAAAAAACAGTAATTTTGAAATTATCATAAATAACCAGTCATTGATGAGTAATGAGACCAGTTGTTTACTAGGGTATAATTTAATCTTATCATCTTTTTAACACTGGATGGTAAGACATATCGCCCAAAATATGTTTAATGAAATTTGGGTAGAAGGGTGAGGGGAGGTTTGTGTCTACTACCCAGTGCTCATATATCTTCATAGACACTGAGCTGGCCGTTTTCATTGTGAATAGGTACTGAGAAAGCAAAATCTCTGATGTTTGTGAGAGTTTCATCCCCATTTATGTGATAACAAATGAGAGGTTTTCTTTGTCTGAAGTAAAAACACAAAATAAAAACATCTTCAGTAAAGATTCTGAAAATAAGTATACTTACGTAATGCATATTTAAGTTTAGTTTAATTCTTTAAAATACAAAGAAGGGAAAAGTAATTGTCTTACAACACAATAAAATGTCCTGATTATGATGGTTTTGAATGGGAAAAAAAAAAATTGGCTATTGCATTTGATTGATGATTTACAATAAAATTTGTAAAATCATGAAATAAAATGCTGTATTATATTCAAACTAACCTTTCTTTTCTCCATTAAGGATGTTAAAATAAGCAGGAGTTCCATTCCTTACTTGCTGCACATGATTAATTTTCATTAAACTTTATGTGAGTCACAGTAAGTATGGATGTGAAAGATGTCCCAAATATTTCATTGGGTCACAATCCCCTAAGGAAGAAGAATCCTACTACAGAAAGCAGTGTGGCATAACTAGGATTTCAGTGAGGATTTCAGCCTTCCATTAAGGGAAATATGCAAGGCAACTGAAGATATGTATTTAACATCAAGACTAAAAATGCATGGCTCAACAGATTGATAATAGGATAATGGTATTTTTTGAATATATACAGTAATTAATAATACTACTTTTTTATTTATAATTTTTTTCACAGAAAATTAATGTATTTCAAAAAAGATACCATCACCCAGTGGAACCCCAATGTAGTAGAAAATAATGCTATTATTTTTCACCCTCAAGAGCTCAGTGGTTTGTTTTCCCTTCAATGTTATGAAGTTCTGTTTTGAAGAAGACTTCCTCATTCTGAAAGCCTGTTGAGTGACCAGTGCCAAGCCCTCATGTTGTAGTATAAATTGCTATAGTGTCATTAGAGTCAACTAAGCTATGTACACTCCTTACATCAAGTGAGTGTCTGGCCCATGAATGTCATTCATATGTCTATTCATAACTGCTTTATGTAGTTTCATATAAGAGCTCAATTACTCCATTGATTTCCCAGGACATGATTATGGCTGCTTAACTGACTGATCTTGAATATCACTCTAGAGAAGAGTTTTAAAGGAATTATAGCTCAGTTTTATGGTGCAACCTGGTGGATGAAAATCAGAGTTAAAAAATGGAAGGTACTTTTTTTCATTTTAAATGCACTTGTTTTAAGGAAGATAAAAGTCTATATTCTTCAATGAGTCTTAAGACACAGAATTAAAATATTAAGGTTGCCTCAGCATCATTATATAGCAATAGAAAACTATGGATATGACACTGTTGAAGAGATGACAAAAACTTTAATTTTTTGATTAATGTAGTATGTAAAGAACTGATAGAGAAAATTCTGAGCCCAATAGTCAGCTAAGTCAACAGATATGTGATGGTAAATGAAGATGTGCTCCACTGTAGACAACTTCAGGTTGTTTCTATAAACTCATGTTTATATTAAATAAATATAAGACCAAACAAAGCAAGGAGTATATGGAAGTTTTTGTGTGACAGAACATTTTCTGAAAGCTGTATCTGAATTTTCAATTAAACAACTCTGTATAGGTTTGAAAATAATATTTCTTTAGTTTTCAAATTATCTGAAGTTTCCTGACTTCATTCATCAAGACTTCATAAAAGAAAGTTATTGAGCCTCAAACACTAACTAGTTATTATGTCAAAATGGAAAATACGTAATTTAAGAAGAAGAAGCAAACCACCTACACCCAAACCAACCATGACCAAAAAGGGTCATGAAGAGAGATACTGGCATATGAAGATGTAAAAGGTAATGCTATCAAATCACTTTCGCATTATTATAATAATAGTAAGGAAGTTAGAATAATGTTTTAAAGTACTTCAGACACAGGTTGGTTTCCAAATACACTAGTCTACAAATCATTAACAGTTACACAATACAATGAGAAAAAAATACTGTCCTCCTTGAAAGCAATGTCAATGTGTACTGATATAAATAATAAAGGAAAATATGGAACCAGTCTGCCTTCAGGTATATCGAAGCAGCTATGCTTTTTGTCCGATTTTTGAGGATGTATAGGAAGTGAAGAGGTGAATGTAGTTGACTAGTCTGACATCAAAGATAGCATCATTACTTTCCAGCCACAAATTTGTTGGTGTTTTATTCACTCCCAGGCTTGCTTCTCTACTTTCTGACATTTTATTTTATTTTCAATATCTTTTCTTCAGTCTTTCCTATAAAATGTACTTCTAATTAAAATTAACGTTATTCAAGCACCTCATCTCCATTTTGTATCCACCAAGAAAAAAGCACTAACTTTTCATGTGACTGTAATCTAATTGTCCTTCTCTTCATTTATTACCCATCTCTGTTCCCTGCCTGTGTTACCTCCTCTTGTTGTTCTTGTATTTGCCTAGACTGTACGCTCTTAGGGGGCAGGAAATCATTTATTTGTTATATGAAGCACCATGAACTATGAAGCTATATAAATAATAAAAAAGTAGATATTCTTAAATAATGTTTGAACTGATACTGATCTGATTGACTACCAGTCTAGTGATATATTGTTACAGCTTGTTGCCTGGAATTCTAATCACTATGGCATCAGAATAAAAAAGAATAAAAATAATAAAGCCAAGCAAAGGATATATCACATTGACTCATCTTACTGAAATTTTCCCTGCAGGGTCAGGCTGAAGAAATATAAAATATCATATTCAGATAGCTTCTATACAGTTTTAAGTATGAAATCTTCTACATTAAAAATGGGACATACAGGTTAATATATAAAAGAAGATTTGCGTACAGGAAGAAATTTGAAGAAAGCTCATCTAAGTGCAAAGCCAGATAGTAACTTGAATTATTTTACAGATATAAAAATTATGAGTAAGCAATTTGATAAGTCAAATACCAAACACTTTGCTCTCCTTCATTATATCTATTTGCCCACTTAGTTCAACGAACCCACCATTGTCAAAATCTATGCTGATCGTACTTTATCAATTATTTCATAACCATCTTTTTTTTTTTTTTTTTATGAGATAAGATTGTAATTTAAACTAAAGCAATGCTTCTTCTCTTCTGTTCATAGCCAACACCACTTTCTGTGACTGAAGGAATGATACAGTCATGGGAATTTGAGAATGCCTAATGTAGGCAAATGAAATAAACCAACTGATGTAACCCATCTCGAGGAAATGCATATCAGCTTTCTCTTTTATCTTTTTCTTCTTAAAGGAATGCCAGTCTGTAATGATGAACACTATTATTTTGAATTGTTGAAGCATAAACTGGGAATTATACATACTTACATAGCCATACATATCTGTTCTGGAGTCTCTCAGGAATTCTCAGTGCCAAGAGAATGGCTTCCTCTCCTTGTCAGAAGATATACAGATAGTTCTACAAGTTATTTAGGAAATCTAGCATGTGCTAAAAATAAAAGAAAAGCCTTGAGGCTCCTTTTCTGTCATGACTGCAGGAGTTCTATTAGAATGAGATTCATGTGGAATTGGTAAATTGGTAGGAAATAAAAGACTTGCTCTCACACTAAACTTACCTGAAAACTTATATGAAAACCATGAAAATGGACAAAGGGTTGGTTTTTTTTTTTTTTTTTTTTTTTGTTATTATTTGTTTCTTTTGTTCTTTTGGCTACATCATGCGTTACAAACCAAATTTGTAGGGATTGTTGAAGGATCTCACTTGATTTTGAAGCCTTTCAACCTTTCTATGGATTTATACCAAAAACCAGTGTCTTGCTAGCCTTCTCCAGTATACTGCTCCCTGTTCAGCTCAGGGAGTCAAGGGCAATCCAAGGTGATGGTAGATGTGGCAGTCTCTTTGTGCCATTGCAGTATTTCAACCATGCTATGTGCCTGGGCCGTTTAGACGCAGATAGATCAATAAACATCACAATTTCTAACATGCATATTTGCTAAGTCATTCTGGGCATGGAGGTCTATGACGAAAAAAAAAATGAAAGCTTATTTGTGTTACGTAAAATTTACTTGTGTGATAGTCATTTATGTATCTCAGAGAATCATAGAAACACAGGAGCACAGTTTTTGAGATTTTGAGTCGTTTAGTCCGGGTACCTCTTCAAAGGGAAGGTGCCTCTGGAGATGATCTATTCCAAACTCTTTTGCTCAAAGCAAGAGCATCTTGAGCAGGTTGCCCAGGACTTTGCCCAGTCATGTTTGAATATTGCCAAGAATGGATGTTCTACAACCTTT